TGCGTTTTCCTACATAGCCTAGACAGCAAGTTAAACACAATTCCAGTACGTTCTCAAGACAATTAGATATGAGGTTCTTTACTAAAAGCACAACACAAAAACAAATAAAGAAATTTCCACTTAACAAATAGATCAACAAATACATACAAAAACTAGAAAATGTCTAAAGTATGGACTGTATTACATTAGTGTTACCAACTGACTGCAGCAGCCTGACATCATTTTCTTTCAGAAGTTTAGAACAATCTTCAAATCCGAATCTTAAGCGGATCAGTATGATAAAGGTGTTGCACCACTTTCAAAAGAACTTAGCCAAGAACAAGCTTAAGATATCTTAGCTACATGGTGAGCAGTAAACTTCTCAGAACTAGGATATTTCCAAAATAGAATTAGTAGAAAATGTCATAAATACCAGCTGATTGCCATCACACTCACAGATTATGCTTGAAGGGTGAAAACACAAAGGATGGACATGGGTGTAGTTTTGCTTCTTCTAGCATAAAAGCTTCAATGAACAGGGATGGTCTGCTTAATTTCCATGCAAAGTGTCAGTGTTTCACTGTGTATTAGTACTGGAGCCTGAATAGTAGATGACTGGCGTGGTTGATGGTAGTGGCTTCACTTTGTCTGCAGCAGCACTCAGCCAAGCAGCCAACCTAGCAGTTTTCAAGCTGGGTAACTCACCTAATAAATACTATATAAACCCAAACATGTACACCAATGAGCCAAAACATTATGACCACTCACAGAGGTTTATTATCTTGTATGTATGGCACATGTAAAGGTCTGGGGTATATTAGATGGTAAGCAAACAGACGGTTTTAGTCGATGTGCTGGATGTGGGAGAAATAGGCAGTGGTCAGTGAGCTAAATTGTTATGGCCAGTGAACTGCGTTGGAATGGACGTGGACGGCCAGGTACGCTTGGCCATTTACCTGGGGAAGTGATGGCACCAGGATGCACTCTAGGAAGAAGTCAAGCCAGTGGAGGTAGTGTAGGGCTCTGGGTGAAGTTCTGGTCCAGCGTTCATGTGGACGCCACTTTGACATGTGCCACCTACGTTAACATTGTTGTGGAGGTAGGCAGGTACACACCTTTATGGCTTTCGATGGCAGAGGCCTCTTTCAGCAGGATAATACGCTCTGATACGCTTCAATGTTCAGGAGTGGTTTAAGGAGCATGAAGAGTTCAAGGCGTTGTACTGGCCTTTAATTTTCCTGTTATCTGTGGGATGTGCTGGAACAAGAGGTCCTATCTGCAGCAGCTCCACCTCGCAATTTACAGGACTTAAAGGATCTGCTGCTAACCTCTTGGTGCCAGATACCAAGGGCACCTTGTCAATGCCACGGCCGGCCAGAGCCGACCACTCCTGACGATGAGTTCCATTGAACTGAATCCACCTTCACTTTTTTACTGAACTGTCACTTCAAAATCACAGTTCCTGACCCATAAATTCTTCATCCCATCCGCTGCGTGAACAGCCAACCCTAAGTGTTACTGCTGTTGCGATATTGCAGGAGTGCACATCTGCATTTAGTTCTGGATGAGGAAATTAGTGCGTAAACAGGTCAATAGAGTTTTGGCCCCTCGGGTTGTGTGAATGGTTCAGCTGCTCTTTTTCTACTGTTAATGAGGCTTCTTCTCACACTTACCTCACTCACAGACCCCCTTAGTCTCTCACTCACACACACACACACACACACACACACACACACACACACACACACACACACAGTAGATGTTGTGTAAGAGATAAACTTGTGCAATATTGACTATATTCCAAAATGCACAGTATATCCATTTGTAACATTTATGGATATAAAAGGTTTGAATTAACATATTTTGTCAAAAACATCTCCACAAAAAAGAGGGACAGGAAAACTAATGATGCCTTCAGACGTCTGTGATGGTGATGACTTTTGAGAGCACCTTGGACAGCAAAGAAAACAAATGGATCCTCGACCAAATCAAGTTTCACGTCTCACTCGAGCCCAGACGACCGAACTGAAGCTCTTATTTGGATGTTTTATGCAAAGAACCAGTTCTGCTTGGAACAGAGGACGACCAGCAACGGGATGGATGGAGACAATCTGTGGAATCATGAATAAACTATTAAGAAGCAAACTTCTTATAAGAAGACAGGACAGTCTGGAGAAACACTATCCATACAGTCACTAAGAGTCAAGATCAACTTAATGATAGTAATAAAGAGGTATATATCGTTATATAGCATTGATAACACGATAGTGTGAATGTTTTGTGGTTTAGCAACTATATCTCGCTCTGAAAGTCTTACGCTCGTTTCACACCAGATGCGACGCGCTGCACAGACACGCCTCGCGGCTGCTCTTTGAGTTGTGTTTTCACGTAATCTAAACATCTGGATTGTCCGTTTATTACTCATATAAACTTTATGTAGATGATATAGAGATCAGTAAAATCTTGACTAGCTGCCATGACTGTTGCTGGCCTTCTCACCAGGTGATGTAGCTCTGTGTGAAGAGGAGGAGACACCTGTGTTCACAACGTTAACCTACTCAAGGGATTTCAGTCAACCTGTCAGAGTTAAAACTAGGTTTGTTGATTTGTTTATTAGCCTAGATTGTATCTTATAGCATAGACATTGCATTTGCTCATGTCAGGAATAGACCCAAAGCGTATTTTGCCCTTCACATGTACGTTACTGCCTCGCGACGCACACGGCCGGAGTGAAAGTCTACATTGATTAATATAGGAGCGGCGCGTCATGCGGCGCAGTTACCACATCTGGCATTAAATGGGCTTTATCTAAAGGCCTGCGAACCAAGTCAGGCCCATGGCACAATCCTATTGGGATGTATTATTAGTAGCCCGTTTCACCCTGAGATGCACTACAGTGCCCAGCATGCACTGCACCATTGTGTGCATTCCGCCCCCTTCCCCCAACAACAGTCCATGGGCAGCGGTTACACCAAAAGAAAAATGCCTGATGTCTAGTTCAAGGAAATAGGCAGTTTAAAAAAAACTTAAAACAGTTAATTTTTATTTAGAATTATTTGAATATGTTTTCATTGCCTATTTTGCTGTTTTTGAATAAGCAGTAGGCATTCAGGTCATGGCGAAATGTTATATGGCCCTTTCAGTGGTTGAGTTTGACACCCCTGATCTATAGTGATGCAACTGCTTGCTTCTAGCATTTGCTAGAAGCCAGAGCCAGTTTAAATTCTGAGAGCCGTGGTGATTTTAGCGCGCAGTTTACATGTGACTGTCTGTGCGCTTTAATGTGCAGAGTGCCTGAGACTGAGACTTGGAGCCCTTCTGCAGTCTCACACCTCAGGATGCAGCATCTGCCACCCCAGCCTCCATTAGCGACTGCTAACAAAATACTTTTCACAGGCGTCTGGAACACTTCAGGATTTCGTAATGTGGTAATGACTAGTCGACTAGTACAAATGAATAGTTGTGTGGCCTCTAGTGTTGCATGCAACCTTGTTATATGATGTGACAGCTGAAACACAGCTATGTGTAAGTTTCTTCGTGTAAAGCCAGCCTGAAAAACTGCTTTTCTTGCTTTGGCAGTATTGTACTCGACCCAGTCATGCCACCAAAGCTATCTTGAGACAGAAGGAGAAGCGAGAGTACAATAGAGAAGTGCGTGTGGAGCTGCTGCAGCGCGGTTGCTGAACTCTTTATGTCCGCGCTGACCCAGCACCTACTCTAACCACACAAAACTACATGGCGAGAGCAGAAAGGCTTGTTAAGAGACTTGTTTTATTTTTAGGCCATTGTTTCCCTGCTGCGTCATCGCCCAAGTTGTTTCATATGAACATTCATTCCTGCGTTCTGGGAAAGAGCGCAACATGCCTGAAACTCTTTCTCTGAAATCATCCTTCTAATGTGACTTCAGCTGTCTTAAGGTGCCTCTGCTGCTGACTCGGGTGTTTAAATGTGCACACACAGCTTGTATGATATACACAGAAAAGCAATGACAAGAATGGGTCACTCTGGGGCAGCTGCACAAGAGCCTAAGGTCATCATGCCCAGTGAGAGGCAGAGAACATTCTAGAACAATGAAAAAGTGGGTAGAACATTCAAGAATCAGTGTTATGAGGGGGGTAATACTCTAGAACAGCATGAATGGGGAAAACATTCTAGAACAGTGTGAATCAGGAAAAACATTCCAGAACAGCATGAATGAGAGAGAACATTCTAGAACAAATGTAAAAGTTCGTAGAACATTCTAGAACAAATGTAAAAGTTCGTAGAACATTCCAGAACAGTGTTAATGGGGGGATAGCACTCTAGAACAACATGAATGGGGAGAACATTCTAAAACAGTGTAAATGAGGAAGAAAATTCTAGAACAGTGTGAATGAGAATGTTCTAGCACAGTGTGAATGAGGAAGAACATTCTAGAACAAATGTGAAAGTGGGTAGGACATTCCAGAAGAGTGTTAATAACACTCTAGAACAGCATGAATGGGGGCTTACATTGTAGAACAGTGGGAATGAGGAAGAACATTTCTAGAACAGTGTGAACAGGAGAGAATATTCTAGAACAGTGAATGAGGGAGAAGATTCTAGAACAGTTTCATCAAGAGTGAACATTCTAGAACTGTCTTAATGGTGCAAACAGCAGTGTGAACGAGTGTCAATGTGGGAGAACTTTCTTGAACATTGTGAATAGGCAAGAATGTTCTAAAACATTTTGATAGATGTCATTCTAGAACAGTGTGAATGGGGAGAACATTTTAGATCCGTTTCAATAGGCGGGAAAAAATTCTAGAAAAGGAGTGTCAGACTGGGTTCCGTGCAGGTCACATCTCTGCAGAGATTTGCGTTTTCCTTCATCTACCGCTCTGAATTTAACTTGGTTCTCACTAATTAGCTGATGAGTTCACTAAACTCTGTTAAGCTGTGGAAGGAACCCAGTTTTAACTCCTGCTGTAGAACATTGTGAATGTGGGTGAACGTTCTAACACACTGTGAATGACTGTCTAACTAACATATCTGTGTTCCAGAGAGGAAGAGTGTGGTGAAGTCCAGTGACCCCAAAGGGAGCGCCACAACATGGGGAACCTCATACCTGCCTGTATCAAGCTCCAGAGATGATCCAGAACCTCCAGAGGGCCTGAAACACCCAGAGAAGAGGAGGAAATGCATGGCTGATGAATCTGAGTTGGAAGAAGGAGAGATTAGGAGTGAGGAGGAGGATGAAGATGAGCATGTTCGTAGCGCTGGTCATGCTAAAGAGCAAAAAAGCACAGATCGTAATCCTCCTCACAAAGATGAAAGTTCCGAAGATGATGATGATGATAAGGATGATGACGATGATGATGAGGATCAGGGTGGTACTATCAGCAGCCAACATGCAACCATGAAAACAGATGACCCTCCTTCTCGTGATCCTGGTGAAGAAGTTAAAGTTCAGGCTGATGCTGTTGCTACTGTTACCGTGGAAACACATCATTGTCTTCCTCATGAAGGTGAGGAGGTGGAGGACCGTCAGGTTAGCACTGCTAATGACCTAAACGGAACCACGAAAACAAATGACCCTCCAGCTCAACCTGATCATTGTGAAAAGAATGAAGATCAGATTAGTGATCAAATGGTAACCATGGAAACAGCTGACCCTGTACCTCACAGTCATGGTGAACTGGCAGGTGATGAAGGCCTGGTCCATTGTGATGTTGACATGGTTCTTGCTGTTAATGACCCAAAGGTAACCATGAAAACTGATCTTCCTCCTTCTTCTCATGATGAAGACGTGAAGGAGGATGATGATGGTGGCACAGCTCAAGACCAAAATGCAGCCATGGAAACAGATCACCCTCCTTCTCGTGATCGTGGTCAAAAGAACGATGATGGTCAGGTTGAAGGTACTCAGAACGGTGCTAATGACCAAAAGGTGACCATGGAGACGTCTGAATCTTCTCTTCGTGGTCCTTGTGAAGGCAGTGATGAAGATCGGGTTGATGGTGGTGTTGACCGAGCCGTATCTACTAATGATGAGGATGTAACCGTGGAGACAGATCGTAATCTGCACTTTGATAATGGCGGTGATGAGGATGGTGATGAAGGTGAAGTTGATGGTGCTGATAATACTGATGTTGCTATTGACCAAAAGGTAGCCATGGAAACAAATAGCCCTCTTCCTCATAGTCATGATAAACAGGGTGGCGATGAAGGTCACCATGGTGGTGTTGACTGTGCTTCTGCTCTCAATGACCAAAAGGTAACCATGGTAACAAACAGCCCTCTTCCTCATAGTCATGATAAACAGGGTGGTGATGAAGGTCAAGTTCATTGTGGTGTTGACAGTGTTCCTGCTCTCAATGACCAAAAGGTAACCGTGGAAACAGACTGCCTTCCTTCTTCTGCTCATGATCAAAACACTGATCGTGATTGTGGTGATGATGGTCATTAGAGTGGCACTACTGATGACCAAAGAGTGACCATAGAAACAGATGGTCTTTATGAACGTTGTGAAGAGGAGGATATCAAAGGTCAGGTTGATGGTGTTGATAGTGCTGCTGCTGTCAATGACCAAAATGTAACCATGGAAACCGATTGCCTTCATTTAGCTTCTAATGATAAGCATCATGATGACCATGATGGTGGTCAGGGTGATGTTGATGGACACGGCAATGGACAAATACAGGCTGCAAATGTGGACGCAATGGAAAGACCACTTACTGACTGATAGCTTCTCTTTAATTAGTACAGTATTACTTTTGTTTTTGTAACTTTCTTATGAAGGTGATGGAAAGTCACAGTCACATTCTGACAACTATATAAACCCCTTTATTTTCTCTTTTCTGTACTATATTTTATTTGGCAAGTCCAGTTTTGTACTGTGAATCATGTGAGTCTGCTACCTTTATTATTTTTGATTTCACCCTTGCGGCTTTATTTAAGAGGTTCATACACAGTGATAAGGTATACATATGGAATTAACGGGTAATCCCGAAATTTCAACATAATTAAATGGCTAACATGTAAACACAGTCATTCAGAGTGGTTTGGTGTGAAAAGTTCAGTTTTAGGGAAACTTGGAGTCGGAATTGTTCACAGTGGTGGTGATAGGAACCAGACGTCCTCCTCTAAAAGCTCCCTCACAGAAGGTTATTACATTCATGACCACTTCAGACACTGCCTGCTGTCTGAGGCATTGTTTTACGATGCTTTTGAGACCATTTATTAGCCTAAAATGTACATTTTCTAATTCTGTTCATGGTGATGTGCATGCAGGGCACTATGAGGAGAAATAGTCCCCAAAGAAAACATATTTTCTCCGATTTATGATTGAAATGATGTGAAATGGTGATTGAAATGGTTCCTATCACCACCACTGTAAAGAAATCAGACAGTACGGCTCTCCACATCTTCCTGTCAAACCACTCTGACTGTATACTGTATACATCTCTATTGGATTATGCAGATATTTTGTGAAATCTGTGAAATTCCCATTTAACAGTGTTTGTTTTCAGGAGCTTCGCTTCGGTTCATTCTTCTGCGTCTTCTACAGAGTAATGAGCAGGACAGGCTGATGTGGGCGGGACTGTTATTTCTGTGAAATCAGTTTTTAATAAAAAGGGGTGTGTCCCGGTCAAATTATTCATAAGTATGTGCGTGTATGTCTCTGATGACCTGAGCATGTGAGCTGTGTGTTGTGTAGTTCTTATTAAACTGACCGTCCACTGTGTGGACCGCTGTTTGTCCATATTTGTGAATAGTTTCAGGGTTGTAATCCAAAAAAGTACCATTACGTGTTGCTAATTACCGCAGTCTAACTGTAATGGGCTTAACTTTGCTAATTACTTCTTTCAATATGCATCTCATTACTTCTCTGTTCCTCTGTAAATGCTGCTTGTGCCAGCTACACAAGGAAAACCCAGCAGTTCTTTTCAGTAAGAATTAATCATTTATAGTAAACATCATTTAAAAGTCTGTGTTTCAGCCTTTTAAAACGACAGTAATGCCAGCAGATACAGTTCAGAACTGCTTCCTCCTAATAAAACTAGTTTTAAAATAGTGTGATTAGATCACGTGTGTCAGGCTCCAGTCCTCGCAGGCCAAAACACTGCAGACTTCAGCTCACTGCCTCTTTAAACACACCTGATTCAGCTCATAAGTGAGGCCTTCATGAACTGAATTCAGAGTGTTAGATGAGGGTGAACGCTGATCTCCACAGCGCTTTAGGCTGGAAGGTCCCCAGTTTGACATGCCTGGATTAGATGCGATGTCAAGTTGCTACGGCTCTTCCTGCACTCACGCTGCACGGCTCACGTTCACAATCAGAGTCACACAGTCAGCTGTCGCAGGTATCGCGCTCAGCTGGCTAGTTCATTACAGCTAAATGTAATAACATTGTTGTAACGCATCGCTTAGCCTTCACGTTATTTATCATGTGATGACCTGGTTTTCGGACTATTCTCGTTACTCTACTTTTCACATGTGGAAAAAAGTGATGGTTTGGGGAAATCAGTGTGATTAAATGTGTACTTGTGAAGGCGTTTTTAGACACTTCAAATGTTATGATCACATGAAAAGCGTAAACACATGATTGAGGTAATCACGTGGAAGGAAAACAGATTGCGTATGATGTTCCAGATGTACTTGTGACCACATGGTTTTTAGACCTGTAGACACTTAAAAACGTGTTTACATGGGAAAGTGCACAGAGTTACATTGTGAATGTGAGGTTTTTAGACACTTGACATAAAAATACTCGTGACTTGTTCGTGAGGGTCGTCCCGTGTGAGGCGCGCGTGTCTGTAAGGCACATGTTGTCGCCCCTGCAGACGTTCGTGCTGTTGTGTGTGTGTGTGTGTGTGTGTGTGTTGATTGTGTCTCCTGTAGGCTGGTCTTCAGCGCAGTCGTGTGTTGTAATCCTGCAGTTCTTCGTCATTGTCTCTTTGATATGCTGATCTTTTTCCAGCCTCCTGCTGTGAAAGGAGCTGATGACCTCATACTTCACCGTGGTCTTCCTGTCTGGCAACCTCTCTGTCTATCTGTCTGTCTGTTTATCTTTACGTCTGTTCATTTATCTGGTCAGCTCAACGGGCATTGAGTTCTAGAACGAGTAGGCCTGTTTCCTGCCCTTTGTTTCTAATATCTACTATTGATTCATTTCTGTGGTGGCATCATGTAGAGCAGGAGCTCCTCACCTGTTTAATAATGTGTATCGAACCGTAGCCAACGATGGTTCAGACAGACCAGGATACTCTCAAAAAAGATGGTTCTTCAAAGGTTCTTTGGTGAAGAACATGGTTCTATATAGAGCCATGAACACGCAAAGAAGTCTTTGCACTTTTAAAGGGTTCTTTTCATTGTGAAAGGGTTCTTGAGATTGATGGAGAATGTGCTGCAAATGGTTCTATATAGAATCTTTTTGAAAAGGGTTCTATAAAGTAGCAAAATATGTTTGTCTGTTGTGATGATGTCAGGCTTGTAACAATAGCAGAACCCTTTTTGCTGCTATATAGAACGCTTTTCAAAAAGGTTCTCTATAGCACCATACAGAACACAGTTTCCATCAATCTGAGGAACACTTTCACAATACTAAGAACCCTTTAGTCATTCATTGAGCGTTCATGGTTCTATATAGAACCATTTTCTTTCCTAAAGAACCCTTGAAGAACCATCTTTTTTAAGTGTGTAGGGCTGTTTACAGGTGATGATTAGCCTGTTTTGCCATTTGTTGCATGTTTTTCTCCTAATGGTGAAGTAGTTAGGCTGCTTCATAGCCTCATTCGCTAGTCTGTGTACCTCACACAGTGGTTTTGGTGTGTCAGCAGGCCCAGTGCTGGTAAATGCACAGATTATGGAGCTGTAATCTGATTTCAGATTGATGCTTTTTCTTGTTGGTATTTTTGTATTTGATGTTTTTTTCTGGGTTTTCAGACCCAATAAAAAGTTTGTTAATGTTGTACTGCAGCCAGTAGCAGCATACAAGTTTGCGCTAGTCCGGTCGGGTTATATCTGCTATTTCACCTTTAACCTTGAAGATTAACACTGCTCACCATGAAGATTAGCTGCTCACCATGGCAACACAGACAACAATCTTGCCTAACTAGTAGGTAACGAAAAGGTAAAGAGAAAGTTTTAAGACGAACATCAATAATTTAGAGACAAACTGATTTATTTGTGTTTATAATCACTCCAGCTGGTTTTCTGATATGTTTAATCTGCAACGAGAAACCTTAAAACACTAAAAAGTCACGAGGCTGAAGTCAGTTTCTCGGTTGCCAGCTCGAATTTTCCCATTCCATCTTAAATGGTGCAGCAGTTACATTCTGGCTCCTCGGGCACCATTTAAGGTGGAACGGGAAAATTCGAACAAGAAGCTGGTGAATGAGAAGCGACTCCAGCCTCGTAAAAAGATGAGAGAGATGTGAGAAAAGCAGCTATAGCTGAGCTAAAGTTTAAAGCAGAGCAGAGTAAGTCTGTGTTTTCATTTATATTATATTTTAGCCTATACTAGGACATCAACACATACTGAGACATATTTACAGCCAAGATGCTAAAATGGAAATGTGGCTCCCAAGGTGGTTTCTTAGCATTTGGGTTGCTGACCCCTGTACTAGGCCATACAGAAACATAATGTAGGCCTACACTTTTAAAATGACATTAAATTAGTTGTGGCATTTTAACGGCAAGAATTAAGCTGTAAATAAAAAATTATCCATAAATAGCGGAGCGGTCAGGCTACTGGACGGCAGGATGGCACGGAGGGTAGCAAGAAGGGCCAGCGTTCAATTCTCCAGCCGGGTTTGCGTGTTCTCCCTGTGTCTGTCTGTCTGCCCTGTGATGGACTGGCAACCTGTTCAGAGTGTTTCCTGCCTTCTGACCAGTGAGCTCTAAGATAGGCTTCTGCACCTTCCCCCCCCCCACCCCGACCCAGAAGGATAAGCGGCTTAGATAGTGTGTGTTTAAAGATGGTGTAAAGGTAAACCTAAAAAGGCCTAAAATATTGACCTCTTTTAAGCTCGTTACTCAGTTATTAATCTTAAGGCGTATTATTCAGTATCTCCTATGAAGCCCGTGTGCCAGTTCTGTAATTATACTGAGAAAATGAAATGTAGACCTACATATGGACCCCTGGGGTTTTAGAGATTATTAATAAGCTAGCTGGGAATCATTTAAACAGCAGCATAATGGCTCCAAAATTAGCACTCGCTTTACTAATAGATAGTAATATGCAATTTATGATGGAGGCATTAAAGCAGTAAAAGAGAGCACGCCATGTCCGGGTCTCATGTTGGGTCTGATTGAGTTTTAATGGTCACGCTATGATACTGCCAAAGGCCTATTAGCAGTGCCCTATGAAGCATTGCAATTTAGTAGCAGTGTGTTCTGTAATATTTTGGTTTTAGCAGCATTAAGCTTGTTGGTTTCCTGCCACCCATCATGCTAATCCATCTGTACACAGCTCCAGTGTTCTGTTTGTGCCAGATTTCTAGTTTTATTTAAGGAACCCCAGGTTTCTGGCTCTACAAGCCTGCTGTCTATAGGAACCCAGCAGTGCCTTGGGAGCCAGACGGATAGATTATCGTGCCTGGCCTGCTAGATGCTAGTATGCTGCTTGCCAGGGCCCTATGGCCACACTAAAGGCGCTGTGGCTGTTTACTGCCTACCCAGTGTTATAAATAGTGCTGCAGACAGGAAGCATTATAGTTAAACAGCTGGAAATTAATACAGCACAACGTCCTGACTTGCTGTTATTGGGGAGAATTCTTGCCTGGTGCATTTGTAATGGACTGCTTTCTATATTTGTCCAGTTTTATGCAACTAGACTTTGGCCTAACCCACTCTTATTAGGCTACATTCTGCCCTTGTTTACTCTACCATGGTCAACTCTTATTGGGATGGTCCACACTTTACCCTGTCCACACTTATTAGACTAAACACTAACCTGGTCTACTCTTACCCCAACCTATTCTTATTGGCTTTAACTCTACCATGGTCCATTCCTATTTGGCTGGCTTTACACTGGTCCACTCTGATTTGACTAGGGTTATCGGGCTGGACTATGCCATAACCCACACTTATTGGGCTGGACTCCACCAAGGTCCGCTCTTATTGGGCTGGACTCTACCCTGGTCCAGATATCAGGATGGACTATGCCATAACCCACACTTATTGGGCTGGACTCCACCAAGGTCCGCTCTTATTGGGCTGGACATTACCCTGGTCCAGTTATCGGGCTGGACTATGCTATAACTCACATGTACTGGGCTGGACTCTACCCTGCTCCACACTTAATAGGCTGAATTCTATTCCTAATTGGTGCATTCTATCCTAACACATCCTTATTGGCCAACAAAAGTCCATTTGCAATGGGCTTTATTTTACCCTGGTCCACCATTATTGGGCTGGATTCTACCATAACCCATTGTTGTTAGACTGGACTCTGCTCTGGTTCATCCTTATCGGGGACATTAGGGCAGCAGTGTTCAGAATGACAAATACCTTCAGAGGTCTGTATGAGTGGACCAGCCCCATAAGGGCACCATAGTAGAGTCCAGCCCAAGGAGAGCTGACCAATGTCTGTGAGACCAATGGTTTATTTATGTACACTGCCCAGTGATCTGGGTCACTTCTTACTTAGACTG